CATCTAAAGGATCAACATTTTGTGAGGATTCACCATCTTCATGATTTCCGTGTACTTCTCTCCCGTGATTTCCACCCAATACGGTAGGAGGACTTGGGCTGAAACTAACATAATGTTGAGCTGCATTCTTTGGCCTCCCTAGCTTGTCAATGTCTTCAATGGTTTGATGCTCAAAGAATACCATATCTCGGCTTCTAATGATTTTCTTTACAACTGGATCCCATAACCTGTAGCCAAACTCTTCATGTCCATAACCCAAGAAGATACACTGTTTAGACTTGTCATCAAGCTTTGACCTTTCATCTTTTGAAACATGCACAAATGCCCGACAACCAAAGACTTTCAGGTAATTATATGAAACATCTTTCCCACTCCAAACTCTTTGTGGAACATCCCCCTTAAGAGGAACTGATGGAGAAAGATTTATCAAGTCTACTGCTGTTCTCATCGCTTCACCCCAAAATGACTTAGGCAATTTCGCATGAGAGAGCATACACCGAATCCGATCATTAATTGTCCGGTTCATTCTCTCCGCCACTCCATTTTGTTGTGGTGTTTTTGGAACAGTCTTCTCAAGCTTGATGTCATAATCCCTGCAATAATGTTCAAACGGGCCTCTATATTCACCACCATTGTCAGCTCGAACACATTTCAACTTCTTCCCGGTTTCTCTTTCCACATTGACATGAAATTGTTTGAAAGTTGCAAGCACCTGGTCTTTAGATTTCAAAGCAACAGCCCATACTTTTCTAGAACAACCATCAATAAAATGTCACAAAGTACAATGCACCACCGAGTGTTCTAGCATCCATGCAGCAAACATCAGTGTGAACTAAATCAAGTACATTTGATTTCGTATGTGGAGAGGAACTATGAAATGAGAATCTATGTTGCTTACCTTTAAGACAATGAGCACATTCCTTCAGATTTTTCTCCTTCAATGGTAGGAGATTCTTTCTCGCAAGAGTTTCAAGCCCCTTCTCGCTGAGATGACCGAGTCTCATATGCCATAGATCAACTGAGGAGTCCTCCACTACATTCACATCTTCCTTGACCAACTTAGCTTGCATGGTGTAAAGAGTGCATGTCTTCTTACCCTTAGCCACTATCATGGAACCCTTGGTCAATTTCCATTTGCCATCACCGAAGATATTGCAGTAACCATCATCATCCAAGGCACCTGTGGAGATCAAGTGAAGTCGAATGTCCGGAACATGTCTCACATTTTTCAAAAGCAAACTACATCCAACGTCGGTCTCCAAATGAACGTCCCCCATGCCGATAACCTTGGAAACACCACTGTTTCCCATCCTAACACAACCAAAATCACCGTTGCGATAGGAAGTAAAATAGTCACGCCGTGAGGTGACGTGAAATGAAGCTCCGGAATCAACAACCCAACCAGAGTCTTGGCATGTAAGGTTCACACAAGTGTCATCACAAATGAACACAATATCGCCGTCGGATGCCACTGCCGTTGTAACTTGCTTTTCTTCTTTCTTTCGATCTTCATTTCTATCATGGAATTTTTCTCTCTTTGGCAACCTACATTCTCTTGCATAATATCCCATCTTGCCACAATTGTAGCACTTCACACTCCTCCTCGGCCTGGACTTCGATCTTCCTCTTGACTTGCCTCTTTTATCAAAATTCTGGAAGTTTCTTAATTGATTTCTCCCCCTGTTTTCTGTGACAAGTGCCTCCGATTTAGAAGCATAATTCAAGCCTTTTCTCCTTGTTTCTTCATTGAATAGGCTTTCTTTCACTATGCTCATAGAAAGCACACCAAATGGAGCTGAGTTATTTAATGCCACAACCAAAGTATCCCAACTATCGGGAAGAGTACCAAGCAATAGACATGCTTGCAATTCATCACCTAAGTCAATCTCAAGATTTGTCAATTGATTTACAACATCTTGAAATTCACTCAAATGTTCCGACATGCTACTTCCCTCCTTGTATCTCAAGTTCATAAGTCTTTTAACTAGAAAAGCTTTATTTTGTGGGGTTCTCCTCTCATAGAGATCTTGCAATTTCTTCCACAAAGTGTCCGCTTTTGTTTCTTGAGCAACATGATGAAACACACTATCATCAATCCATTGTCGGATAAACCCAACCGTTTTCCGATTCATACGCTCCCATTCTTTGTCTTCCTTATCTCCTTTAGCCTCATCACCCTCAACGGGATCAAATAAATCTTTGCAATATAACATGTCTTCCATCCGAGGCGTCCAAATGTTGTAATTCGAGGCATTTAACTTAAACAAGGTGCCACTAGTTTCCTCCATTCAATACTAGAATATCAACGCTAGCTCTGATACCACTTTGTTGGGGAGAACCGCGGCAACGATTCACCAAGAACCAAGCCAATCCAGGATCAATATCTCCCCCGAAACTAAACCGACCAAAATCGACATAATTCCAACAACAACCCACTATATTCCAGCAATATAAGCTCGCAATTATAAGGAAACAAATGCAACAATCGACACCAATATTTAACGTGGAAACCCAAAGCGGGAAAAACCACGGACCGCCCCAAAAACTTCCACTAATCACCAAAAATAGTAGGATACACCAAGTTCTTCTCTAGTCACACACTAGAGGCACAACATCAACATTACAACATCATTTTTATCACCACGAAGGTGGATTTACATAAAACGGAGAAGAAAAGCCTAACCGTGAATGGAGAGTTCGGAGGAGATTCTCAACGAACGAAACCGATCAACTCGTAGCCCTCGGTCTCACGAACAACATACTAAAATTTGAGCCAATTCCGACAACGTTTGGCCTTCGAAATCGGACCGCGAAGATGCGCTCCTTTTCTTTCTTTTCTTCCCCTGCACTCTCGGTGAGCTCTCGGTAAAGTCACTCTCTATTTTTCTCTCTCCTTCTCACTTGGGCACACACACACACACGAAGCAGCCCCTCTTTTGTTCTTTCTTTTTCATTTTTGACTTTCTTTGTTTTGTTTATTTTTTATTTAAGTACTAACTGGGCCCCACATAAGGTGGACCCAGTCAACATCAACTTATAAACTACCACATTAATCTTTTGAGTCCATTAATCTTCTTGAGTATATTAGTGGTCTAGACTTCACTTGGCTGTCATCTTATCATGGTATCTCCAAGTTTTCACAAATTACTTATTTTCCTAAACTTATTCACCCTCTATCAAGGTCCATTGTTAACCCTCTATCAAGGTCCATCCAACTTTTAGGCGTCTTTCCATTGTATACTTCCGATGCCGTTAATGGTGACAAAGCATTCCTTATATTAACATTACTTGAAATAAACAACATCTAAGAGATAGATAATTTTGTCAACTTCAAAACATCATAGAGCAATTTCCCAACAAGGTTTGCATCTTTAGTAATAATTTCAAAGAAGATTGCGTGAAAGAGCATTTTACTAGAAGAGAAAACTAGAGGTAACAGGCGTTAGGTAAAACTAGTATAACCAAGTCCCCGAAGTCCCAACATCCTTAGTTCACAAAGTCTCGTAACCGACTCGAATATGTTAGTGGCAATTCTAATTAAACTTGATCAATGAATGAGAAATCAAGTTGAAGTCGGTAAGGCTTAAGAAATCCCATACAAAGCATAAGCGCCACCTCTCAAGAGGATTATTCGCACCCGATTAGCACTCCGAGGGTCATGACACACAAACATTGATCTCACGCACGATCGTGGGCTGACCTCGACCCAGAGGACCGCCTATAGCAAAAGCTTGTCCACCCGTTATCGCCTAATCATCGTCGTTAGGCCAGGTCTGAGTTGCCAGATGCTGTTGTCTAGCCCCGAACCAAAGTCCTTACGCTCTCTATCCTCGTGGAATTGTAATGATCTTCGAGTAATGATCTGATAATAGATACTGGACGATACCTGCTTGTCTCGTCCACCCTCCTTTGCCTCATTATTTTTCCGGGGTTGAATGGAGGGCAAGTCGCTCCGTCATTGTCGCTCTCGGACGAGATTTGTGACAGTCGAAGAGAGTCCTACCTCGCACGATGGTGGCGACTGCTGGCTTCGATCGTTACACAGCCCGTGGCGACCAGAGCCTTCCCAGAACAATGGCCTTGCAAAACTCTTTTTTTTTTTTTTTTTTTGATAACCGGGAACCCCGCATGGCCGACAGCCGGAGGGATAAACCTGGGGTGACGCTACATGGGACCCACCACCACGGCGCCACACTTAAGAATCCCTAACGACTACGCTGGGGTTCGAACTCCGATCCCTTCGTGGGGGACAAGAGACCTTCCCAAGAACAATGGCCTTGCGAAACTCTTCATCTCTTCCTCCGGCAAAAAGAAAGAAAGAGAGCAGGATTTCTCAGCTTCCTGATGAATGCGTGATGTTTCTATCTATTCGAGTTAAATGGAAATAGAGGATAGATATGATGAGAAGTTATTATTAGACTTTGCCAATAAAATTTAAAGAAGCGGTGAATAACTTCGACAGATAATGAAATCAGATTCTAAACTTAGCACAAATGCACTTACGCTATGTTCTGGATCGAACTGACAATTACCAAAGTGGGCGTCACAAGAAAGGCAAGGTCTCAGCTCGGTTGGCGTATGGCAAAAGAAACGCTGATTTGGTAGCGTTTTACATTGCATCCTTGTTTCCCTCTTTGAAGCGGAGTAGATTTTGGAAGTAGAGAATGTCCTAAATTGGATTCTCTATCATCACAACCAAGAAGTGAGAGTGAATGCTCATTGACACATAATCACAACATACATTAGAACGTAGAATGCCAATATATATGTCACATTATAAGATCATATCAAGGAAAAACAGTCAGAAAGATCGAATAATGACAAAAATAAAAATAACGTCTACATATAATAACTTAAGGAACATGCGAATCCACATGAAGTGAACATAAATCAGAATCTTAGAAATTTATAACTGTTTCTAATACAAGCTAGACACATGACGGTTACATTACTAATCAGTGTCGCATAAGTATTTGATTCCATGCACAACTCCTTATTATTTAGTGCCTTCCCAATCTTTTCCACCTTTTTGCCATTTTCTTGGAGTAGTGCAAGAACCAACTACTCTTCACGTCAATGATCCAGTTCCCTAGCACAACACCGATCAAAAACCCAACTCTGGAGCCAATTAGCACAACTTTCCAATCCAAGTCAAGCGGAGACTCTTCGCCATTACCTTCCTCGAGCAAAGATGGTGGTAATGGTAAGTTATCGCCATCCTCTGTACATTTATTTGGTAAAGGAATTCCACACAACCCGTTATTCATGGAAAATGAACCGGTCCTGAATGTGTCGAATTGACTCCCTCGTGGTACTAATCCTGACAACTGATTATGAGAGACATCAAAAGATGAAAGAAATGTAAGTTGGGTTAGTTGTCGAGGTAGCTCTCCTGAGAGCTTGTTTCGAGAAAGATCAAGAGATTCCAGCATTGTCAATTTTGCTAAGGAAGGGGGGATGGAACCAATAAGAATATTATTGGAAAGGTTAAGCGTGAGAAGTGACTTCAAATCTCCAATGAGATTGGGTATGCATCCTTCAAATTTGTTATTGGAGAGGTCAATTCCCATGAGGGCATATGGAACCTTTGAGTATTCTCTTTTTGTGCCTTTATTCAACAATTTCATTCCATAAGTCACAATGTCAAACCACTTTGCCTTAGCGTCTAGCAAAACATTCATATATTCCAACCGATCTTGACTAACAATTATTTTCATGGCATGAAAACTCTGTAACAACTTGGAAGGAAGTTCACCATCGAAACTATTGCTGGACAGGTCCATGACATGCAAGTTGCTGAAGTTAAACTGGCTTTGATATGTTTTTATTGGACCATGGAACTTATTGGATTTTAAGATAATAGCTTTCAACTCGGTCAATTCTGATAACCATGGAGGAACTTGTCGAGAATTTGATTGTGACTAAAGTTCAAATACTCTAGTATTGTACAATTCACCAAAGATCTTGGGACAGGCCCTTGCAATCGATTCTCTATGAGGTCAATCATCCTCAACGCACAACCTTTTGAATAAGCATGAGGAATCCTGCCCTCAAGTTTATTTTTCCCAAGATTCAAAATTGGCAAAGAATCAATATTTCCCGGACATGAAGGAATTGTGCCATTCAGATTATTGATGGACAAATCAAGACCGATGAGGGATCTTCCTCTACAAATAGATTGAATTGCTCCAAAGAGGATGTTGTTGGAAATATTGTAATACTTCAACTGATGGTGGTGGAGTAGGGAGTGTTGTTTTGAGCAAGTTAGAACTAATATCAAGATAGAGCAAGTTGGGTAGAGGCAAATTGATTTGGTTGTTTTCAAAGCCAGTTAGACAATTGTGAGAAAGATCCACATAGGTCAAGGTTTCTCTGCTACCATTCCATATCCACATAGGAAAAATCCCTCCAATTTTATTGTTTGAAAGATTTACCCAAATCAATTTGGTTAGGTTGTCTAAAAACTTTGGGAACTCATGTAAGTTGCATGAAACTAAACTTACCTTGTAAAGTTTTGGAAGAGAAGCATTAAACTCGGTCTTGCTGACAAAAGATATACTGTTGAAGTCCAAAACTAATTTTTTCAAGTTCTTGAGTTTGTGTAAATCCACAGTGCCACTCAAATTATTCCTCCTAAGATCCATATATTCAAGATCCTTGAGTTCCCATAATGATTTTGGAATTTCACCTTGCAAATTATTGTATGAAAGGTCAAACCCAACCATCCGCGTCAGGTTCTCAAATGAAGATGGAATTGGACCACTTAGCTGAACATCTGCCAAATGTAAACAAACCAGACTTGTTAGTTTGGCTACTAACTGAATCTCGTCATTTTTTTTCTATTTTTTTATTGACAAAAAACCTTGCTATCTAAATATTACCTGAAAGGTCACAATAGGTGAGTTTTGCCAAGTTGACAAGCCAATGCCAAATATCACCTATGAAATTATTGGAATGGAGATCTAGATATGACAACTGGGTAAGGTTAGTGACGGAAGTGGGTATTTGACCCTGAAATTTACTACTTGCTATATCCAAATAAGCAAGCTGAGAAAGATTACCCAGTGAACTGGGAAGTGAACCCGAGAAATTACAACTCCCAATTGATAATCTATTCAAGAAAACAAGGTTTCCGATTGAAACAAGGATTTCCCCTGAAAAATTCGTGCCCAAAAGAGACAATGATTTCATGCGATTACCCCAATGTTCTTCAGGAATAAAACCATAAAGGTTGTAATTGTAACTGATGTCGAGGACTTTTAGGTTTAGTAACTGAAAGATGCTTACCGGAAATTCTCCATGCAATCCACATTCTTGAAGTTTAAGCGACTTCAAAAAAGAGAAGTTTGCAAGTACGCGAGGGAATGGTGATGGCATGCTTATAGAAGAGAGATCTACTTCTCTAAGCATAGTTAAGTTCTTAACAAAGTTGTCTATGCTGGACATCTCAACATCACCCCACGAAGAAGATAAATCAAGAGAAATTAATCTGGAGAGCCGTGAAATATCTAGGGGGACTTTTCCAGAAAAGCTCGAATCAAAGAGATTAAGGTATTATGAGCCAGAAAGATTGCCAAAGTCATATGGGATTGAGGAAGAGTTGAAGTCATTCAAAGCGAGATTGAGCGATTCCAAGTGAAGCAAACGAAAGAGGCTGGTGTTGGAAGTTATGGTACCACAGAGACAACTGTTACTAAGGTCAAGGCCTGTCACGTGACCACTGGCCTCGTTGCACTCGACGCCATCCCATGAGCAGCAGTTTCCATGTCCATCTAGTGATCATGATTCAACTTTCGGATAAACACAACAATATTCTGCTTTGTTGGTTCGAACACTTCGCTTGAATTCAATCAAGGCAGAGCTCTCATCCGGATGGCATAGTGGCTTAGCAAGTGAAGAATGAATCATCAGGAGAAGGACGATCCAAGTAAGAAGCGCATAGAGTAAGGATGCCATGATTTTTGCCTTCGTTACTGGAGTTGGTTACTGAGGCAAAGTGCGATTGAGAAGCTTTTATGGACATCATTGACCGGTCGCATTCAATTGAAGCTCGCGCTACTAGCATCGCATGTAAGTTGATGATGCATCGCACGGGTTTGTCGCTAGTTTCTAGTCGTATTTGCATGGTCCGCTGAGACGGCGTTTTATATCTATGCCAAAAAGAAAAAACAACAAAACGAAGACCAAACTTGAGACATACTAAACCGGCCAAATGAAATTTTTCCAGTCCTTGAAATTGGCAAACAATTGAATGGATTGACTAATAGGAAGCATCAAGATGAGACCAGTCACGGAGCCACGATTTGGGTTGAGCCAGCAAAGTTTGACGACGATAAGTCGAGTCCAGAAAAATTTCTTAGCGTGAGAATTTTGAATAACCTTACATTAGGTAAAGCGTATACTAGTCGTTATTAAGTTTAGAAAAGCAGAAAGATCGATTCAGAATTTTCTCAAATTGTTTTCTTGAACTTTTCCATATAAATTTGATTAATTGTTTGGACTAGAGAAACAACATTTTCTGGATAAGTATTCGTAATTATATAGGATATCAAAGGCTATTTCTCATCAAGAGCCTTTTCACTAAAATATTCAATTAATTTTGGCTTCACCTATATTTAAACAATACTTTTCAACGATTGAAAAATTTGCCTTAATCTCATAGGTTTTCTTATAGATGAAGGCGCATATGTGAAGTCAACATAAATAAATAAATAAATCACATTTTCTTATAAGAAATATCATAAGAAAAAGTACAAGTGAACATAATTGTCTATGCATATAAGATATGATCTAGAAAACATAACAGGTCAAATATGTGGAGAGAGAGAGAGAATTTACTTTTATATAGTAGAAATGACAAATGCAGTTTGATTTTATTATTAGTTTCATCTTTCAAAAATAGAGATATGTCGTGGTAATATCAAATTAGACTCTATGTAGCTTTGAGACAAAAAAAACACGTATTTTACCTAACACCGATAATTTTGGGAAGGGGGGGTGAATTATCCATCGCCGGATACGATTTTGAGGCCATGTTTGGTTATCGGGAATGAAGCCATCGGAATGGGAATGGAAACCCAATTTCACTTTCGCGATATCGTTCCGCAAATTCGAAACGAACGAGGCGGGAACGTAAAACGAGAAGTGGAAATGACAAAGTGCTGCGCGGCCGGCCGCATCATTCCCCGCCATAGGATTAAGGGGGAAGAAGTGGGAATGAGTGGGGAATCGATTGGGGGGACAGGTATACCAAAAAAAGAAAGGCAAGCAGACAAGCAAAAACCACCAACGTTTGCGACCCAAGTGTTTGTCGTTCCAAGAAGACTTTGACTCCCTTTGCGTTTACAATTGAGTCCACCGCTGTCCTAGAGCCATTGGGCTCGAGCGAAAGACAACGAGATTCGAGCACACCCCTGTGTCTTTTCTCTTCCCCTTTCTGCGCAATTGTAGCTGTGAACTATTTTCCCTAGGAAAAGTGCCCGAGTGTCCCCCCGCACACCTGTAGACCGTCAACGCCGTAGGAGCAAAAACACCAGACAACGAGTTTCGTCCACAGAGAGAGATCATTTTCCGGGAAAAGAGAAGGCACGAAATCCTGGTCTGACCGGAAAAGGAAAGGAGAAGCGAAGGACGCCCAGACAGGTTCCCCCTCCGTTTGGTTTCGCCTTTCGCAACCATCATCATTTTCCGAGGCTCTGTTAACGATTTGGAAAGTATTTTCCTTAAGAACGATCGTTCGTATCGCTTGGAATAATATCGGTCAATAGGAAAATGATTTCGTTATCGACAAGCAATTTACGTACGAAAATTTTCGTGGACGGTGAAAATATTCTCCGTTCATTCATTTTCGTAGGCGATACGATCAACCATTTTTAGGAAAGTGTTTTCGGAATCATTTATTTTCCGTGAAACAAATGGAGCCTAAGACTTTGATCGTCAAAAATAAGACAATTTGAGCCTGGCCCACTCTAAGGAATCCGGCCACACTCCCTTTTTCCTTAACCTAGCCGAAATTTGAGGGAATTTCAAGAGTAATGTCCACTAAGGAAGGTTCAATGAAGAATTGGATAAGTATTCTTTTCAAGTATCCCTGGGTTGATTTAGGAACCGGTGGGCCGGTTTCTTGTTTCACAAACTGGGAACCATACCGGAATCAGTTTCTGATTTCAAGATGGAAACCGACCCACTCCGAAACTGATCACCCTTACGAAAAACAACTACCCCTTGCCCCGGACGGACCATCTGGTGGATTCAACGGACGGCAACGAACTCGTGTCCTTCTTGGATGCTTTCTCAAGGTACAAGTACTAGAGCTTTAAAAAAAAATCAGCTATTCTTGGATGAACCGGATGCATATCCACCCGATTTAGGTCACTTGGATCTCACGTAATCCAGCGTTACACCCCAATTCCAAGTCATTGATATCCTATTTCCTCTCCAATTCCTATTTCCTTGAGTAGCTCTTTCGATATAGTTGGATGAAAATTTCGTTTCTCCATCGACTCCTGTCATATAAACAAGCTTTGCTTGTTCGTGATCAGCTTCTCCCTTAGCGTGATCGATCCCAAAGAATTTATATTTGGAATTAGCTTTGGTAGTGTTTTACATTGCATCTTTGTTTCCCTCTTTGAAGCGGAGTCACGAAAAAGTTACAGAGGATAAATAAATTAGTGGGGATGATGATCAGGGCTACTTGTGCAGTCCCGGAAGGAGGACTTTGCCTTTCGGCCACCGTGATCGGGAGGAGCGCGAGCGCGGATCCTGGAAAGATGCTTCTCGGACTGAAGTGGTCCTTGACCATGTTGTCCAAAGGATCGCCCTGATTGGTGTTACCACCTTTGGATGATCGCCGAGTACTTGTTCGTCGGGAGCTAGGTAAAAGGAAGGTGTCATCAGTGCGACTAGGAATGTCTTGTGTGAATAAGGACCAGGGCACTTGTCCGAGGGGTTTGGATTGGATCAGCTGCTCGCACGGTTGTCTCTTCCTCTAGGACCCGACCACCGGCTTCATCGACCACCCTCCCATGGAATTGCCCCTGCCGATCCATCTCTTCTTGTCCCTGCACTCCCCCCTCACTCCTCAGCCGCGCACTTGCCCTGCGAGGTCATTGCCGTATACGAGGGCCAGGTCACCGTGTACTGCACCTCTGGAGGCTGGAGAGGGGGAACTCTCACTCGATCTCTGTCTCCTTGCAGGAGCAAGTGAGGGCCGGCCTCAACAGGAGCCGGTACAAGGACGCTTGTTTCGACGGCCACATGCCCTGCGTCTTGTCCCAGTGTGGCAATCACGACGTCACTCTCGAGTTACGGCAGTACTACAATCACCCCCACTGGCCCTGGGATTTTGAGTCTCGAGTATCGTCGGCTGGTCGATCCAAATCAGCGTTGAGGTACAACTGCAGCCCGCAAAGATGGACATGGTGGGGTAGGCACCGCCCTCAACGATTCCGCATTTGATCCTTTACTAGTAGTGGGTACATGGCTCGATATGTCTCGGAAGATGGGGATGGGGAACCCCTGGATGTTGCCGACGGCGATAAGGACCTCAAGGAGGACCATGACTTGCACCCCAAGACTCTGGCTTTCCGACGTCTACCAGCTCCAAGGACTCGGAACCCCGGAGATGGCGGAATGCCCAGAGGATCATGCTCTATTCGTGGGTAAAAATCACTCTTTCACGCTTCCCGCCGTGCACTAAGGCAGTCCGATCGAGCACTCTATTTACCTCCGAATTCGGGGACTAGCGGGGGTCTTCGACATGGCCTAGCAGACGATCGGATCCGTTTATCCCGATTGTTACTTTCCTGGGGAGAACGACGGCATGCCCTCGATGTGGGTTCTTCCCAGCCGTCGCTAATTCAAAGTCTGAAACTTCATCCTCAATGTTCCATCACTCCGCTTATTTCCTTCGACTTAGGTACCTTCCGTCGGTTGTTTTATTTTACATGATTCGGATCGGCTTCTTAGTGCTTCGGCGAATCGAAACGGCATCGATTAACCTCGTTGCCAGGGCTGTTTCTTCGTACCATTGGCGCTACTGCTGCTGCGCGATCCTTCCCTTCATGCGTAATTGGACTTGTAATTAGACTTGTAAGGGAAGAGATACCTCGTTGTCACAGTCAGCACGTGTTATCATGAGTCCTGTAATTAGACTTGTAAAACTCTACGAGGAAGACATTGCTCTTGCTTGCCGTTGGAAAAGTAAACGTTTCAAATGTTCGGTGGCCGTCCCTGCGTTTATTTCTTAAGGTTTAGTTGCCCCCTTTGACTCTGAAGGCTTCATTCATGCTTTCTTTTTGACAAAAATGTAACAAATAATCCCTGTGATCCCAATATAATCCCTGAACTTTAACTTAATGTGCAATGTGATCTATCAACCTTTAATTTATTCAATATGGCCCCTGGACTTTTAGTACGTGTTCAACTTAGTCCATGAATTATATGAAAATATTACGGTACATATTCAACTTAATCATCGAACTATATGAAAATGCACACTGAGCACAGTTTGGAGGTTTTTGTCACAGTGCCCAAGTCTCGGATTTTCGGTGATACAAAAAAAATAAGTTAGGGGTATTTATATCACAGCGAGCATTGAGCATAATTCAGGATTTTTCGTGGCATTTGCCCTTTGAATTCCGATCAATTTTAACATCGCAGGTTTAACTCATTTTTAAAAGGGAAAATTCCATTTTTGTACCCCAAGTGGAAGCGTTTTCTCAATTTGGTACCCAAAGTGGACACGGTGTCAAATAAGGGCCTGAAGTGCCCAATTAGTCTCAAATAAGGACCCGAAGTGTCCAAAAAGTCTTAAATAAAGGCCCGGGTCGCCGACCGGCCAAAATTGCCGACAAGCCAAAATTGCCTGCCGGCCGGCAAGAATGTTACTGTTCCGGCACCGGAACAGTAACTTTTTTATTATTTTTTCCTTTCTATTTTTTTTTCCTTTTCCTTTTCTTTTTTTTTTTTCTTCTCTTCCTCCGCCGGGGCCGGAACAGTAACATTCTTGCCGGCCGGCAGGCAATTTTGGCCGGCCGGCGACCCAGGCCCTTATTTGAGACTTTTTGGGCACTTCAGATTCTTATTTGAAACTAATTGAGCACTTCGGGCCCTTATTTGACATCATGTCCATTTTGGATACCAAATTGAGAAAACGCTTCCACTTGGGTTACCAAAATGGAATTTTCCCTTTTTAAAATTTTAAATTATAGGGCCTTTGTGATTTTTCTCTTCCTTAATCTAATCGAAGGAGGAGGAGGAGGAGGGCCCGACCAAACCACGCGGAGGCCACGTGCGGGGCCCCTCCTCAATCGCGCGGTGACAACGAAGTCAAGGCGCTTTCTCCCAAAATTCTTCTTCTTCCTCCCACTACCTTTCCCTGTCGGTTCCTCCCTTTTACTCAATTTTCCCTTTTCAATTATGCCAATGCCACCACCACCACCACCACCATTCTCTCTCTTCTGCTGTTACCTGTAAAGATAACCGCAAAAAGCCACCTCCTTTCTGGCCCCACCCCGATCATCTTCTTCTTCTTCTTCCTCCGCCGCACCATTGGTCCCGCCGCCGCCGCCCCCCTGTGCTTCCGGCGAGGTTCCCGTGATCACGCTTCTTCCTCTCTCCTCGGCGATCGCAGTCCCGAGCGAGCGCCGGCGAATCGGGTTCTTCGCGCCCGAGCGCATCGGGACATGGAGGCCATCAAGAAGCAGGCCAGCAAGCTGCGGGAGCAAGTCGCCAAGCAGCAGCAGGTGATTCCGGTTGTTCCCCGACTGAGCTCGCTCGCTCGCTCGCGCGCGGGGGCAGGGCACTGTTGCTGCTCCTTTGGCGAATCGTTTGCTGTTGTTGTTGTTGTTGTTGTTGTTGCTGGTCCTGTTTTGCTTGCTTGGGTAGTTGTTGTCTTAGCTACGTGGATAGGTTTGCTTGGGATGATCCGGATTTATTAGTATGTTGAATTGTGGACTTGGAGTGGTTCTGTTCGTGTTCATTGACTTGTTATGCTGCAGAAATTTGGCTTAGTATCGCGATATAACTGGCATGGAAATGCTAGCCTTGCTCATAAAATCGAGATAATGCAGTTATCTGAAGAATACCCAATTAGCTTCATCTTCTCCTCGGTTATGTTTGAATGTTTTTTTTGTGAATGTTCGTGACAGCGAACATGTGCGGTGCCGGTGGGACTATGAATTTGATACATCTGCTCTGTTAGCCATTAGTCTTCGTCCACGGGAGAATTAGTCGGAGAGGCATTAGTCAATCTCTTTGTTGGGTTAAGTAAACCTAAGATTGTACAGTGATTGAGGAATCCTCCAATTTTGTGTTTTCTTGTTTCGGCAGGCAATATTGAAACAACTGGGGCACTTTGATGCTGAAGCACTAACGGTTGATGAGGACGAGCTTCAGTGTTACCGGCAACTTCAGAATCTATACAATTCGACCAGGGTAGCCAAGGTAAAATTATCGAGTGTCTTTGACTAATTTCATGCGGGGTATATTTCTCACTAAGAGGGGACTTTCAGATGTGATGCAATCAATATGGAGATGATGATTTTGCTTGAGAAAAGTCTAAAACTATGTTATCTTGGACAGCATCTACAGAGGAATATTGTTCGAGGCGTCGAAGGTTTCATATCCATAAGCTCAAAGCAAATGGAGATAGGTGAAGATAGATTTTCTTGCTCATTCTCCATGCCCTTTCCAGTACTGACATCTGTATTTTGTTTCTATGTGGTAGTAAGAAAGTTGGCTGATGACTGCTGCAATTATGGAGTTGAGAAACAGGGCTCTGGTTCTGCTCTTGCAAGAGCTGCTCTTTCATTCGGTACTTCGCACAATTCGATGGAAAGCGAGCGAAAGAACTTGCTTGGAACCCTAGGTGATCAGGTAATTCTGGTCACGTCTTTCATCCTTTGTGATGATAAATGTTCCTTTGCACTAATTGCTGCTAGAAAGTCTTAATCGAGATTAGCCAGCTGTTTTAGCAATTTTAGGTTCCATCTAATCATGTTACAGATATTATTAATAGGTTTCCGAGCCTCTACGGGTAGTTATAAACGGAGCTCCTTTGGAAGATGCACGTCACTTGACTCGCCGCTATGACAAGCTCCGGCAAGAGGTGGAGAACCAGGTAATTTTCTTGGTCACATCTTCATCAAGATGTTGTTAGAGATATATTAACTGTGTGGTAAAATTGTTTTTTCCCCTCTCAGGCAGCTGAAGTTCTGAGAAGGGGATCGAGATCTAGGGATTCGGCTCAATCTGCAGAAAGTTCCCTGAAGCTTAAAAGCGCAGAAGCAAGATTGACTGAGCTTAAATCAGCTATGATGGCACTCGGTAGAGAAGCAACTGATGCTATGTTATCAGTTGAGGATCAACAGCAGCAGATCACTTTCCAGCGCCTCCTTAAAATGGTAGTCTGCTTACTTTTTAGTGGGTCCTTTTTATTTTTATTGCTTTAGAGTTTACGATCAGCAGTTTTCTGGTTTGTGCTCTTTACATGCCTATTTCCCTATGTCATGAGCATGCAGTTTGAATATGTACACTGAATAGCGAAACTCTAAAAGGAGGAGGTTGTTCAACAATTGGCCGACAGGATTTTGGTTATACTGTGACTATTTTAGTGTCAATGCACATTGCAATGTTGCAATTTTCGGTATTTTCACTTTTGCTGAACTGGTTTTATTGGGTTGGCTTGCAGTTTTGTGTTGCGTATCGTGAAAAAAAATAGCAATGCAGCTTTCCTACTAATGAAAGTCTACTTCACAAATCCCTTTACACCGTTGCATTTCTCTTAACTGTGAGTTTGATATAGCTCGAACAAATTTGCTAGCTACTGTCTGTACATACTTTAGGATTTAGCTGACTTAGATGGCCTGATCAGGGAATTTTTTTCTGGGCAGTTTTTCTGGTATTTATTGTCGTAATTCTTTGACCCTTTAGGTCTAAGGACTTTCCCCTAAAATTAATTGTTTTCCTGGGCCATCTAATTTCCGGGCTAAATTATAAAGTTCGAGCAAAATTGTCAAATAAAGACCCTGGAGATTATAGCAATGACTTTATGCCAATACTGTTCTTTCAGTTAGTGATAGTAAAGTTGGCTATGTAATGTAGCTTTCGGTGCAGTTTATTGTAGCCAGTTTGAAGTATGCCTTAGTTTCCACAGTTCGTGGAATTACAAATCCTCAGAATTATAGTTGCAGCTTCTTTTGGGTACTTGGCATACTCTTCTATGTTATCGTTCAACGAAGATAAGGCAACACTTATGTCCTACTCAACCAACAATAAAAAATTTGGCCAAAAAAAGACCAACTATGGTAAATTACAAATCAACCTGAGTAGAGGCATTTCAGTATATGACGTATTGTATGGCGGATTGTGCAAATGCAACTGCTTTAGATTGGTTGCAAAATTTAAATGCAAAGATTGCATTTTCCCTCCTCCATTTGCTTGCGGTAGTTGTTGAATCGGTAGTGAAATTTTCTTGCAGGTGGATGCAGAGAGAGATTATCATCGAAGAGTTGTTGCCATCTTAGAGAAGTTACACTCTGAGGTAGGTAGCTCTTCGCCCTGCTTCCTCATGCTCTCAAGAAACCAACTTTAGACTTCTTCCCAGCATCCTACTTTTAACCGATAATAGTGCTCTCACTCTTTTATGTTATTTCTTAGTATTTTGAGTTGTTGCTGCTCCTATAGCGTGGCTGAATATGTTGTCTCCTGGAGTAGATGATAGAGGAAGAGCAATCAAGTGAGCCTTCAGTGACATCAACGACGATGCAGCCAGATGGGGAAGTTCCACTTGCTCATGAGGATGCCAAATCAAGCATATCAGATGATCATGGGCACATTGATCAGTACGATAGCTACTTCATTGGAAAAGTAAGGTCTCCAAGCTCTATGGTTACAGGAAATTTAGAATATTTGCAGATAGGAACAGATGCTTTGTCATCTAAGCTGGTCATAAACCTTTTCAGTTTCTCTTCTCAGTCACATACTTTCATGCGATCGCATTGTTTTTTTCTTCATGTAACATCATTTGCATTTCAGATTTGACTTTGCTTTAACCAGAGCACTTTGTGCTTAATTAGTCCATTGCCGACGCCACTATATTTTTTTTTTTGGTCTATTTAATTGGAGTTTCTCTTGTTACGTTAGCTGCCATTTTTCACTTCCTTATTTTCTCTTTCTCTTTTCTCTTTTAGCTAATAGCCTAATACTTCGTGCTTCAGGTCATACACCCATTTGATGCCGAGGCAGAAGGAGAGTTGAGTCTATCTGTTGATGATTATGTCATTGTTCGGCAGGTACTTCTCTTTTCATCGATGCAATTTCTACATGCTACCAATCAACAGCTACATTGGAACAAGTTGGCGCATTTCTGATGAAGTGGTTTTCCCATCTATATCATTTTTGGCACTGTTGTTAAACTGAGTGCATGTTCTTTTTCTCCAAAAATCTCGGTCCATCAGTCCTGTCTTTCGCTGTGGATTGCAACTACATTTTTTTTTCCATTTCGTTTCATTGACGCCTGTCTCTTTTTCGGGGTTTTCGCAAGGTTGCTCCCAACGGATGGTCGGAAGGCGAATCTAATGGAAATGCTGGATGGTTCCCTTCTGCTTACGTAGAACGCCAAGAGAAAGCACCAGCTAAAAGGGTACTGGACACGACAAGCTCGAGAATCTGAAGCAAAAATCAATCTTGTGAATTAGAATCCGGAGGAAATATGTTGGTGCCCTTTTTTACTTTGTATCATATGGTGCCTCGTTATTGTCGAGTGTTGGCCGAATAAATCGTTCTTTCATTTTGTAAATTATTTTATTTGGTGAATAAAGTTGTTACCCAGTTGGTTCTTCTGTCTGTTCGAATTACTGAAGGAACGTGAATTGCATCCGATGAAACATACGTTTGGTCAGCTTGAATCGATGATTGCTGTAATAATGACAGAATCATATGTTCTCTCTGAAAATAAGCTCTGACGGCTACTAACTTGAATTGATTGCATAATTTATCAAATAAACAATTGCGGAAGGTAGCCTTTGCTTTTCAGATAGCGCTCGATTGTTTGGTGTTCTCTCCTTAAAATAATTTCCGGGCCATCGACACTTTTGTATATTATTTTGTATATTATAATATGAATAATCTTTTAATTGCATATTTTTTGTCCGATAATATTTGATATTTTCCAACAATCTATGGGGAAAACATGCTTGTGACTAGAGGTGTCAAAATGGGTCTTAAACCCATATATAACCCATTTAAAAATAAATTGGTCATATATGGGTCACTTTAATTTTAAAGAGTCAACCTTAAATGGGTTTTAAATTTTAAAGCTTAAAGATAAATGGGTCTAAATGGGTTGAGTTTGGAACCCATGTCCAACCCACCTACTAGCCCCATCCACACACTCTCTCCTCTTTACAAAAATATTTAAAAAAATCGAAATTTAATTTTTTTTCACTTTTTCTTTTATTTTTTCTTTTTCTTTTCTCTTCTTTCTTTTTCTTTTTTTTATTCGCCGGTGGTCGGCCACGGCGACCGACCACGGGCGGGACGACCTCGCCGGAGGCCGGCGAGCTTCGAGCTCGCCGGCCTCGAGCTCGCCTCGATCCGGCGACCTCGAGGCTCGCCGATCCGGCGAGGCTCCGGCCTCGCCGATCGGCGAGACTCGAGCTCGCCGGCCTCGGCGAGCTCGACCTAGCCGGATCTGGCGAGGTGGAGCCTTGCCGAGGCCGGCGAGACTCGAGCTCGCCGGCCTCGGGCGAGGTCGAGGTCGCCCGAGGCCGGCGAGCTCGAGTCTCGCGGCCTCGGGCAAGGCTCCACCTCGCCAGATCCGGCGAGGTCGAGCTCGCCGGATCGGCGAGTGTGGAGCCTCGCCGGATCGGCGAGAACGAGCTTCGCCAGCCTCCGGCGAGCTCGTCCTCGCCTGTGGTCGGTCGCCGGCCACGGCGGCCGGCGATCGGCCAAAAATAAAGGAAAAAGAAAAAATAAAAATAAAAATAAAAAATAATTAAAAATTCGATTTAAAAAATAAAAAAAATATTAAATTTTTTTTATTTTCTTGGATAATGACTTTATGAAAACTATTTTCTAGAAATATCGCATTTTTCGTAAAACAAACAGAACCTCAATTTAAAAAAAAATTATAAAAAATTTTCACTAGCTTTGTATTGCATAAAGTGTTTTAGCAGTATAATTTTAAAAAAAATCATAAGAAACAAGTATTCCTAGATTAGGTTAAATATAAAAGTGTTTTAGCAATATGGGTCGGGTCGGGTCGGGTATGGGTCGAGATATTTACACTATGAATAAATTAGTCATAAACGGGTTAATGGGTCAATTTGGGTCGGATCATTAATGACCCGACCCACCGGTTTAACAGGTCTACTTGTGGCACGAGGGACACCCTAGGACTCTTAATGTTCGGTTAAGAGGTAACATCATTAAAGGAAATGAGCTTTCGCTCCTACGAAGACTTCCACGACCCGTCCCCATCCTGTGGCTGTGGGGCAGGCTCTACGGATGCGTTCATTATTTTAATGTACCGATATCAGCACGTCTTGCATCCGTAGGGGAGGGAGAGGGAATACCCCTTGATAGTTTTACATATCGATGATCATGAGATCTAGACGAGAATTGAGATAAAGTCTTTTAAGACAATTGTCCTTATTAGTGGCACGAGGGATATGCATTGAGTATGTATTATCTTGTCTTTCAATCTCACGAATGAAAAAATTAAATACGCAAGATATTTTTGAAAGAGTTTTAAGACATTGCTTGTTTAAAATCGATAAATCACATAATAGATGTTGCTAATAAACTACATTTTAAGGAAAAAAAAATCACGGGGAACCCAGTTTTGGCACGCGCACAATTATTACGGAACTCGCTTTGTTAATTTCGCATGAAACAAATTAACAATACACTCCCCATTAGATAAAAAGCTAAATTAAGTGTAGATATACGCATAAATTAGAAATTTATCATCTTGCAATGCCGTTTTCCCACCTTCTCAGGAGGGCTAGGGGTGAGGACGCATAGTTTCAGGTGTGGGTTTCGACTCTCACGCTCTGTAAGAGGCAGGACAAAAGTCTGAAAGTGAGATGAAAAGTAGAGTAGGAATAGGTGTAGGACTGACAAAATAAAAAGTGGGAAAATTTCAGAACCGGGGAAACCATTTGTCAGAAAAACGAATTCCTGAATAATATCTTCTTTTACCGATATTTTCGTAATGGCGTGCATCTATTATAGCACAAGTATTTATCCACAATCATTTAGAATCCTAAAAAAGACTCTTTATTTTTAGCAAAAAACAAAAGCAATTTCGAATTCCTCCGCTTCCGAATTTGTGAAGCAGAAAAAGAGGAAAAATAAAAGTTTTACTAACCAAAAACAAATAAAAATAAAAATAAAAATCTCTCTCTAACCAAAAGGACTGCCTCTCTCTCTCTCTCTCTCTGTCTCTCTCTCTCCAAACGATGAGCTCGTCTTCTCTCTCATCCCCTTTCTCAGCTCCGGCGAACCTGCCTCTCCGCCTTCCTCAGCTCCGCCGCCACCGCGACCTGCGAGGGCGCCGTCGTCCGGCGGGCTTGCTCCGCTCCTCCCGCCGCCGCTCTCTCGACCTCCGGCCGGAGCCTCCGCGCCGCAATGCGCTCGAATCGCTCGGCTGCGCCGCCGTCTTCTTGGCCCTCGGCTTCGCCTCCGCCTCCGCCGCTCTCTCGCTTCCACCCGTCGCTCTCGCCTCCGATTCCCGCGCTCCCGCCGCAGTTCCCCGAGAGGAAGGCCGAACTCGAGGTCTTTTACTATCGTTTCTCACTTATGTAGTGCCGTGCATTTTCGTATGTCGAGGGACGAGGATTCTTGTTGTTTGAGCATAAACTAGGAGTGAACTGACTCTGTTTTCACTTGCTGGATTGCTGGACCGTTGATTGGTTGATTCGCGAGTAATTTTTGTTGCGTTTGTGCTTGAAAATGTGAGCGCAGATGGCTCCGGCGACGAGGAACGAGAGCGTGGAAGGGAAGATGTAGCAGAAGAAGAAGAAGAGGAAGAGGATAAGGAATTGGAGGAAGCGTTTGAGAAATGGAAGTCGAAGTCGTACGCTCTGACTGTTCCGCTGAGGGTCGTTGCTCTTCGCGGCTCCGTGCCTCCTCCTTGGATTAAGGTCTGCTATTTTGGGACTTTACCTTTCAACTCTCGGGGTCCAAATTTGGAGAAATGGGAATCGATGCTGTAATCTCTGCTGATGATCCGGTCGAATTTGCCTAGTGCGTATTATGTTGTGAAAAATTTCTTGCTTTTGATGTGTAGGAATTTATGCAGTCCCAAGGGAAGAGAGTGCGGCTGCAACTTAAGTTGCGCGAGAGTCTTGACAGCATATTCTCGGATGTGTCGACTGCTTTGGCCAAAGGCAATGTCAAGCCCACGTCTACTGCTGCAGCTGATATTGTCACTGTTGGTGACTCGTGGCTTGATCTAGCTATAAAGAGAGGCTTGATCGAGCCTATAGAAGGGGCAGAAGAGCAGGATTGGTTTTCTGGCTTAAATGACAGATGGAAGGTAAACATGAAATAGTAGATGCAGCCAATCGCGTGCTGCAGTCCTTTTTAGAATGTTGTACGGCGAATACATTCTATTGCCTCTATGCTCGTGTCCATGTAATCTTGCAACCGAATAAGTAGATACTTGGGAGGTTTCCTGAAGTATTCTCTTCCTAGTTGCGAGATGCAGAATCCGATTGATGAGTTTGAAGACAATGCATCTGTCCTTTAAGTCCATTGTTTTGATTTTAAAACACTTGATCGGTGAATTTTGAATTTTAAAAGATTTAGATGAGGACTGGGCATGTCATATGATAAATGTTGGAGCAAGTGGGGTTGGAAATGTGCAAAAATGCGATGTTGATGCAGTGCAAGTGAAGAGCAAAAATGAGATGTTGATGCAGTGCAAGTGAAGAGCAAAAATGCTAGGGTGTTTGTTGCTCTCAAGAAGACAGACAGTGTGGTTTATTGCAGATAAAAAAGATTTTGATAGTAAATGAAGTTAAAAGTTCTATAGGATCATGGGCGGCATTCTTGAGCTTGGAAACATCAAACATCTGTGAAAAAATGCTAATTTGTGTTAATAACCAGCAAATAAAGCTTAGAAAATGGTGTTATTAAAGTCTGATAACAATGTAATTAATCAAACAACTGCTTGCTGAAATTCTGTGCGTGATTTGACTTTGATATAATAACTGTGCTTGCTTCTTACCTGAGCCATTGATTTGATGTGTTTGTTAGTTTAATAATTTTCATTTTCACTGAAAAGATCTCAGGTGCATTTATGCAGGAATTGTGAGGGGGCAACTGATACAGGCGGTAAAGTATGGGCAGCTCCCTATCGCTGGGGAAGCATGGTGATAGCTTATAAAAAAAGCAAATTCAAAAAGCTTAATATGGCTCCTATAGAGGTATCTTCTTGCAGCTTGATGTTAATTTGTTTAAAAGATTCGGTAAATAATGGAATGGTCCTGATCACTTTGCAAAGGTGTATGGCATGGTTAGTTTGGCAATGGTAACTGCTATTGCAATATTTAAGCTGCAACTGTGGTCCAGTCCCTCTGAAGTTTTTGTATACAAAACATCATGAAGTTCTCTTCTGCCTTATGCTTGTGGTTGATAATGGCATTGCATATAAAAAGATACATGAGTGTCCAGAGTTTGGTGAAACATGGGCTTGAAGTTTGATGTGAATGAGGTGCATATCTGTATCGGCATTTGCTCTGTTAAAGTTAGAGTGACATTCTTTATGGTATTTGAACTGTGACAAATTCATTTCAAACTGGAAAAAGAATTTATGGTTTTCTTTCATGTAAATTGGTTTTTTTCCTGTTCATGGGTAAAAACCAATAAAGACAAAACTTTGGATGGAGCTTACAGGTATCAGTGTATAAACTGGAAATTTTCATGAAGGATATAATATAAATTTATTATTGTTTTTTTATTAATCAACTGCCTTGATCATCTTTCAACTCATAATGTCCGGGCAACCAATTGAATAGAGAATGCAATATAGGAAATACCAAAGGACATAAGACAACTCAAAAGCAACCCTGAATAGAATATGAATGCTATCTATATTTCCAGCTCATGTTTCAATAAAGATATACTCTTTCAAATTCAACACCCCGTGGCTCTCATTTCATATCTATACTTTGTGAGACTGTGTCGATCTATGAGAAGAAGGTAAACAGTAGAAATTTAAACAAGGACTTTCCTTAAAGTACCTCTCCAGTTATTTCTTAGATGAAGGATTTTCTACCTAGCGCATATCTTTTTAGTCAAAAGTTCCTTCAAATTCATGAAAGCAGACCACTGTAAAACTAATCTTTTAAGGTTCTCTTTCATTCAAACTCCTGAATGACTTGGACGAATCATGTACTTAAGATTTGAGAGCATTCCTTGACTCCCCCAAGAATCAAGCAGGCCAAACTAGCTTCTATTTTGCTCAACTTGAAGTGGCATGAGTTAGATAATCATAAGATATGATGAACTGTCATGATCTACAAACTTTTTGCATATATTTATTTGCATACAATAATTTTAGCTGTCATGTAAGATTGTAGGATTAACAGTCATTGGTGTATTGCAGGACTGGGAGGATTTGTGGAGGCCTGAGCTTGCTGGGAGGATTTCAATGGTGGATAGTCCTAGAGAGGTTATAGGTGCTGTTTTGAAGTACATGGGAGCATCATACAACACAGACAACATTGACTCAAAAGTGGTCGGTGGAAAACATGCAGTCAGGCAAAATCTGGCATCACTTGCAAAGCAGGTATAGTAGAGTGCAGTTAGAACACCCATTCCCTCATGATGAGCTAGCTTTATCTTTGAAGAAACTATAAGGTGAGAAGCCGACCAGATTTTCCAAAACTAGAGTGATACTTGTTCAATTGCTTGTGGAAATGGGGTAGCTTGGTAATTTCCTGAAGATGGTCAGAATCATCTGATGTTTTCATTATTAGTTTATGGCCATGAATGGATCTTCCAGCAATTATTGAAAACATCTGATCTTTCAATTTTTTGTGTTGGAAAGGGAACAGCTGATTGCATCTTGTATAGATCTTTATCTTTGAAAAGTTTTAAGGCTTGGGTTTTACTTTATGCAGGTTCGACTCTTTGACAGTACTCACTATTTAAAAGCTTTTGGGGTGGAAGATGTATGGGTGGCTGTTGGGTGGAGCAGTGACGTCCTTCCTGTTGCCAAAAAGATGCGCAATGTTGCAGTCATTGTGCCAAAATCAGGAGCAAGCTTATGGGCAGATCTGTGGGTATGTGTTTGTGGAACCTTATCTCTTCTCCATATTCGTGTGATTCCACCTGTTAGTGACTGTGCACTAGCAATGTATGGAAGCTACTGTACTAGAAGGAGTATTATATTGTTAAACGTAGCTCTAGGATATATCATTTGCTGATGGTATTTTCTTCTTGTGATAGGCCATCCCTGCTGCCTCTAAGATAGGCACCAACCAAATCGGAGGTCGCATTAGAGGCCCATCTCCATTAGTCCATCAATGGATTGAATTCTGCTTGCAATCTGCAAGAGCATTGCCTTTCCAACAGGGGGTACTTCCAGGTGCTGTTCCTCAGGCCCTTAATAGTACAATCGTTGAAATGCCAAAAGAGCTCGCCAAGGTCAATAGGCCGAAGCTAGATACAAACCTCGTGGCTGGAGCACCTCCACCTCACATACTTAACAGGTGCGAGTTTTTGGAACCACTGCCTGATGCTACAGTCTCTGATTATGAGTGGCTGATAAGAAGTATGCAGACATCTGGTCCTGGCTTTATTGAGCGTTTGCTGCTTAAGATGTCAGTGGTGATGCGGGTCCTTCAGCTCAGGCTTCATGCCAAGATAAGTTGAGACGATGCGGAGTCATAAGGTGCCTCATGTAATCAGCTGATAAGCGGAGTAGTTTTCTCTTCCTTTGACTCAAAATGACACAAGCGTAGATTTATTTAGAAATGAGTGGCCTTTGACTTGAAGGCCGCTCTAAGGAAATGGAAATTGATTCCCCGAAAATGCAATAGATAATTATAGGTCAAATTTAGTCATATGCATAAGAAAATGCTTCTTTTTGGATTCAAACGTTGTCCACATACAGATTATTGTCTGGGCAATACCATGCGTACGAGATACTGTAAATGTTATGAAATGACATGTTTATAATCGAGCTACTCCTGTAACTTCTCTTGTGAAAGATTCATTGGGAAGAAGGGAAAGCTTGTTGTTTATCATGTCGATGTCTTCTGTTTTATGGTTTTTAGCCAGCAGCTTATTGGTCAAAAGGTGACTAATACTTATTTTTGGCGTTACCAGGTAGTAACTTAGAATTGTACTGTTAGGTTATCTTTATTATTCCTTTATAACAAGAAACCTTTTAAGCTAAGAATATGTGCTAGATTTAAGAAAAATTCACTATAAATCCTTCTCTCGTTCTCATGGATGTAATTAACTAAAATGACTATTGGAATGCAAACACGTACATCCCTGCCACGAAACTAAAATTAAATTAGCACAACCAACAAAATATATTCTTGGATTGACACTGAAACAAATGATCATTGAATTTTGACTCAATATATAATGATGTTCATAAACTTTTAATTTATTCAATGTAGTCACTAAACTATATAAAAATGTTCGATGTTGTCTTTGAACTTGAATTAACGAAAGAATAACATTTAATATTTTTATATAATTCATGGACTAAATTTGACATTTACTAAAAGTTTAGAGATCGCATTGAGCAAATTAAAAATTAAGGGACAACATTGCATATTAGGCTAAAGCTCATGAACGATATTACACATCGGATCAAAGTTCGAGGACAATTTGTGTCTTCCAAATATCATCAGCTTGTTTTTCCTATGAAATTCTCCATGTATCCACAAAATCAATTGAAGGAATTGTTGGATGCAATTCGAAAGTAAAGATACATGGAGATGTACCAAGATTATGTTATAGCCAATACGCTAAAAATAGCGTAATTACCAAGATGAATTCGACGGCAAAAACTAAAGCAATCAAATGCAATAATGGATCGAATCTCTCTAAATTTGTGAATGCGCATGTCTTGAATTTCAACTGCAAAAGATGTAAGAGAGAAACAGTTAGAAATTTTATCTCAAAACGGGGGGGGACAGAGAGAGAGAGAGAAGTCGATGCTTACCTTAAAAGGCGTACGATGTAGATCCATGTCGCCAAAAGAAGAAAGGGAAGAAGGAAAGGAAAAACACAAACCAATCAAGAAGCAGACCCACCCCCCTCCACACGCTTACTTTCACCACGCCCCGCCCACAGTAGACCCAACATCGTACTTGATCCTCGTCTTTTCTTGATTGCTCGCTCTGCAGGCAGGGAGAGAGGTAGAGAGAGAGAGCGAGAGAGAGATGACGAGGGGTAAGCAGAAGATCGAAGCGCAGAGAAGGAACGCTGAGAGGAACCAGAAGGCCAAGGGGTCTCAGCTCGAGGCCAGGGTCGTCGGCCTCAAAGTCACCTGCCCCATTTGCAAGGTTTCTCGCTTCACTCTCTTCTCTTTTCCCCACCCTTTAAATTTAATTCTGCCCGAATGGGACAGATCTTGATTTGTGATCGAATCGGCGAGGGGGGGCCATCGTAATCATCGATCCGGGTTTCGTTGTACCATTTGCTTCCTTTCAAGGTTTCAGCTTTTATGGGCATGGACCATCTTGTGGATTGGATGCATTTGAGTTGCGGGTGTGAATTGGGTTGCCGTCGCCATTTCGATAAGAAAACCAAATCATTTGTTGCTGTCTTTGACTTCTGTGGTGGTTAATTTACGGTTAGAGTATTGGGTATGTGAGCGAGTGTTTCGAGAGTTTCTCTGGAGAGGGATATTCGTGCGTGATCTTGGAGATATGGGGAGCTGGACTTTTTAACTGAGGCGGGATTCCCTCCTTTTGCCTCCCTAACGAGGTGTCGTGAGAATCTAAGGCATCCTCGCTGAAGAACTCTGATTGGATCTCATTGACTCTCTTCAAACTGAGAGGATAATGATTTGGATGTATTGGAGGACTTTTAAGTGGTTGTATGTTGTGGAACGATACGGCAGTAGCTGGGGAATGCACAATTATATTGCTGCTTGAGAAATACCATTTAGGTGTGTTCTTGCAGCAGTAGATGGACACTCTATTTGGATTGCATGAAGATCATGGCATATAGGTGTTATAATTCTGCTGCTTTTTGGTAAAAATGACAGCTTTTTTCGGGGATGAAATGGTTCTAAGTATGCACCTAGTATAGTTTTTCTTTTCTTTTCTTTTCTTTTTCTGATTAAATACTTTGATAATTGGCATTTTATACTTGCATCATTTTGACATATTATGAGGTATGCTTAGGTTTTACATTGAAAATGCCCAATGTCCTTTTGCTGGCGTTGTGAAGATTAATTACTCTTCTGTAGCATATTCGATGCTTGGGTTGCTGAAATTTTGATCTTTGCTTAAAATTCCTGGGGAGTTACACATTTGGGTATTGATAAGACCATTCACTATTTCTTGAAGCTCGATCTATCCCCCAGATGAAGAATGCGAATCAGATACTACATGCTGTGGTAGGACAAGGGAAAGGTGAAATCTTAGGTAGACAAATCCTTGGAGTAAACTGAGTGAACACGTTAAAGAAAACTTATGGTGGGATGCCAGCCAAAAAAGAATAGGTGACCTGAGAAGACTTGGTGCGGCGGATTCCATGAGGACCCTGAATATGTGGACCTTGCAATGATGTAAGACTTTCCCCGTATTCAATCCCAGTGAATGAGAGAACAGAAGGCTTTGTCTACTATACTCGGTTTTATGGATTCAAGGGGCCCCTTGAAGTAAAAAACGCCCAAGTCCTGTCTTCTGTATTACTTTTTTCTTAGAGGAACGTTGTTTTCATCCTAGTGTAACTGTTTGAAGTGAAATAAGGCAGTTAGCTGGATATGTGGGCCTAGATGCTGGCATAATATTGGGAAAAGAATTACTCTAGTTTAGGGTTATTCCATACGTGAATGGTGCTAGGGTTATTACGCGAATTGGAGGATGGGTTTCTAAACGCAGGTAATTTGACACTGATCCGTTGGAATATCTGGTTGTAATTAAGATGTGCGGCATGTCTACTGGAGTATATGGTATTGATGCGTCTTATATAGTTTATCACTGCTGCTAGGATAAGTTTTCACTAACTTTTTGTAGGCATGATCATATATTAGACAAGGATGACATATCAACTTTTTCTGCATGAAAATTCTCTCTCTCCCTCTCTCTCGCACACTCCTTTCCTTTGAAGGTTTTATGTGTATGTCTGTTGTGCATTTTTTTTATCAATGTTACGCCAAGTCAAGCATGTTTTTATTCCACAAGTTCCTTTGTTTGTTTTCCATTGCGCACCTCTTCTTGTACCTTTTCTTTAGCTGGTATCACTTTACATGTTCGTCTTATGGCAATGGTTAACTACAAGGAAGCAATGGAGTTCATTGTTCTTTTTGTCTCTTTACCAGGTGCAACTAGCAAATCAGAATCAACTTGGGGATCATTATGCTTCCAAACATCCAAAGGAGAAGCCACCTACTGACTCGAGCTGATGGCACCTTTTGTTTGTAGAAAAATCTGGAAACTGTGGAAAAAAAATTGATCCACATGTAACAAGGGTCTATGTGAATCACAATAATTCGACTCGTATAACTTGGTGCTGCTTCTGCAAGTCTGTACTGCAACTGCATTTGAACTATCGCGTTGTTGCTTTTGCCTGGTTGCGTGGAGTCAGTATTCGTATCATCCACAATGGCAATTTCGTATATAATACTTTGAAAGCGATGATCTCTGGAGAAACTCTAGGTATCTTTAATCTCTTAACAATTTCTCTGCTGCTCAAATACCTGGTTTTTAGAACATGAATCATGAAAAGGGGGTAGTAGTTAACCGGCTCGAGTTCAGACCCTCTTCCTGAAGATGCACCCTCATGGTGATGACCTCTTTCTCAAGCCTATCCTTGCAAGGTTGTGTGATTGGTTTGTTTATTGATATCTGCAATGTGACAGGATACGATAAAAACTCTTTATCCTGGTTGAGCTTGCTGTGCATATGACATTAGAAGACCACAGATTACTTTTCGAGTGCATCAACAGACATGCCGGCGAAATTAAGATGCACAGAAAAGAAACTCGCTACATTTTCTTTTTGCTGAGATCTGCACGATGGTTGTCACATAAACCCTAGTAACAAATTGCGTAATCGAAGTATTATGGTGCGTGGTGCCGCCATAAACATGGATGGGATAACAGTGGATGCCTAAAAAGATGGAAGCTGCTAATTCTGGTAGAAATGTAACTCTCGGTAACAATGGAAGAAGAGAGAAGAAAAACACCTAACAAAATCAATCGCCATAGTTAAGCTTGTTTCATCCCAGTAGAATTCCCTCGATATATAGAGACGAGCAAAGAGCGTAAACCGTATCAGAAAGATAAGGCAACCCACCATAGACATCGTGCAAACCAGATCTCGAACACATGGTGCTATCCTCAATGACTCTTCATCGATTGTAGTATGAGCTTGTATTATATATATTGCAACCAGAATATGCAGGATAAAGGACAAGCGATTGAAGAAATGTGTAATGAATACATACACCTACAAACATTACAAATCAATAAAGGAAAACCCTTTTCCTCTATACACAAATACCAGGCTAAGAGAAGATCCCTACATGTAATTTTGCATTGCCATACTCTCTTCAAAATGTTTATCTGTCGTCTGTGCAAAACGTACCTCCAAATCGATAAGACCCTTTAGTAATTTCTCCGGCCTGTCCGCATTATAGACGCGAACATCGTCACAAACAAAATTAGGTCAGTAAACTATCAATCCAGCCACTTCATAAGTTGCTCTCGTGAAGAAGCTTGTTCAAGAGGGTTGTCAATAGAGCATCCCTTCTTTCGGCTCGGTTCTCTTCTCGTAGCCTCCTTTGCTCTTCCTGCTCCCTCCAAGCCTGCTCAACCATCAGCCTCTCCCTCTCGAGCTTCTCCATCGACTGCCTCCATTCCTGCTCGAACAAAAGGCGTTCGTGGGCACGCCTCTCCATCATATCCCTCCACTGCATCTCCATCACCTGTTGCTGCTTGAAGAACTCCTTGAGTGTATCAAAAATATCAGCGCCACTGCTCCTGCCAGAAACTCCGCTGGTCCCCCCCGAACGCTTGTTGATCACGACCTTTTCGGCCTTCCTCTTACGAGAACCGGCTTTCAAAGGCCTCTCCTCGTCGCTATCGTCCTCATCTTCGTCATCAGCCTCCAAGAGTTCATCAGAAGATTGATTGCCGCCATATCCTTTCAATCTTTTCTTCGCTTGAACGGAAGTCCCTTCGGATTCAAGATGAAGCCGCTGCATGTTCTTTGCTCTCTCGGTGAACAACGCGTGCAGCTCCTCGAAAAAGGGACATTTCCGTCCGTTCTCAGGATCCGATGTCTCCTTCCCCTGAAATCACAGCAAAGCGGGGACTCAATATAATGAGCTGAAAACTCTATCCAAATTGCAACTTCCTCGTTCGATCGCCTTCAACAAATTAAATAATTAACTCAAACCCGCGTACAGAGGATCGCCTAAAAGCAGAGAGCAAGACAAGAACTCGAGAACACGGGCTACAGAGAAAGAATGCACAGGAGGCCATACAAAGTCAAGACCCGCTTAGCTTAGCTGACAAAGTCATTTCCAAGACAAAAGCGGTTCCTTAAATCTTGATGAACTAACATAGCAGCACGATCAGACTGATACCAGGGGAAGATCTCACAAAGGCAAAGCCACTTTCTCAAACTCAAACCCAGAGACACACATCACGGGGAAGCTGAGAAACACATAACAACGAAAGGCGAACACCGCCGCATAGCTAAACAATAGGAAATGGATTCGTTTCAGAGGTACGAATGAGCAAAACTCTCGTTATCAAGTGTCAAAGGCATCATTTTTGGCCTATTGAACTCGGGGTATCATCGAAGCCTGCACGGATTCGACAGATTCGACTGAATACAGCGCGCGCGCCTCCACGACCAGGAACGACGTGCGAAAGAGCTACCTTGTAGCGGTTCAGCAGATTCTTCCACTTGCACTTGCACTGCTCCGGCGTCCTCCGGTAGCCCCTCTCCCTCATCCGCGCGCTCACGATCTCCCACAGGTTCTTGTTCCGCTTCGCCGCCGTGAAGTCCCTCTCCAGCTCCGCTCGTATCCTTATGAACTCCCTCGTCTCCTCCTGGCTCCACTGCGGCTGATGCTGCTGCTGCTGCTGCTGCTGGGTCGTCGGCGCCGCCGCCGGCGGGCTCAGGAGCGACGGCGCCATCATGCCGATCGGGCCGAGGGGCTCGCCGCCGTCGTCGTCCTCGCCGGCGAACATTGCCGGGAAATCGGAGCTCCTCGACGCCGCCGCCGCCGCTCGATCCGCGGGGGGGTTTTAGGGTTTTTTTTTCCCAAGGCGCAACGGGTTTTCGCGGCTTCCTGGAATTCCGCTTCGGTGGGGGGCGCGTGGAGAGGAGGGGGGCGATTTGTCGGAAAAGCCCAGGCGGTTTCGCGCCTATTTATAGTTATGCCATCGTCGTTTTTAATAACTCTCTTTCTCTCTCTACGCTTCGGGCCGTCGTTTCGGGGGCGACGGGGGCGACGGGGGCGACGGTGGGGGGCGGGGGGCGGGGGGCGGGGCAAAATGGTAAATGCGACGGGGGGCGTGGAGGGAGGAACGGAACGGGAGAGTCGGGGCGCCTCGAAGGTCAAAGAGGTCGGTAGGGGGTTGACTTTTGGGGAGGCATGGGCAAAATTTGGTTCGACGAGTTGGACTTCTGACATTTTCTTCGTGGGGAAGAGATCGACAGCACATCGAAAATGTCAATGGGTTCTATCCTAATCAATGCCTTTGGCAGAACTTCTGGGGAAACGACTTTTCGTCCCGACGACGGACCTCGGCTAGAAGGGACCTTTCCGGGGGCCGAAAAGTGTTTTGGCAATCGGTATCTTCGAAACCTCTTGTGATTGCTGTTTGGTGAATTTGCAATCGCAAAGCAATTTATATCTTTTCTTTCATCATTGAATCGAATTTTTTTTGACTGATGTATTTAGGGGTGAGCCATATGTGAGTTGTTTGAAGTTTTAAGAGCCGTATCAGAAGAGGTTTAAAAATTCGAAGCTCAATGAGAACAGGTTTTAATGGGTTTTTTGCCTCGCCCCATTTACAACCCATTTAAATTAGAGGATGTCGGCCTTTCGGACCAATTCTTTCTCTTCTGTCACCTCCGCCGAGTTCTCTACCGAGGCATCCGCCGCCGTCGCATCTCGCCCGCCATCAGGTCTCGCCCTCCGTCGAGTCTACCCCTGAAGCGTCGAGCCTCGATTGCGCCGAAATCTCCATTGCGTCGAGCTTCTAGATCCGCTTCTTTGTACACTCTGCGCATCTAGATCTTACTTCACTTCTTAGTCCCTGTATCTTGTTGAGAGAGAGCGAGAGAGCTGTTCTATTTTATCGATATGGCCAAAATTACCCCCAAAGAAAAATCACCGTGGCCAAACCGAGTTGGGTCGGGGAAAATTGTCCAAAATGTACGACAGTCAATTCAGTCATAAACATTTCGATGGTATCAATTTAATCCTAAATATTTTGACAAATTACCAACTTAGTCCTAAATATTTTAACGATCGGACAATTTAATCATCCCGGCAATTTTCGCAAGAAATCGCTAACGTGGCAATCTAGTTAGCATCGGTCGTCCTATATAGCACAGTCGATGCTGACGTTGACGATTTTGACAATTTTTTTTTTGTTTCTTCCAGTTTCCTTTTTTTTTCTTTTTCTTTTGTTTCTTTTTTCTTTTTGTTTTCTTGTTTTCTCTTTTTACCTTCGCCGCTCGTCGACCTACGCCAGCCTCAAGAGAGGGCTGCCCACGCCAACCGCGGCCCTTGCTAGCCCAAGCGTAGGCGTCCCTCACCCGAGGCTGGCAACGGCAGCCCTCTCCTAAGGCCAATGGAAAATGTTGCTTATGTTAAGCCATGCCAATTCGAAATGCACCTGAAAACAACTTTCTATTTTATCGATATGGCCAAAATTACGCCCCAAAAAAAAAATCACCGTGGCCAAATCGAGTTGGATTGGGGAAAATTGTCCAAAAGGTATGGCGGTCAATTCAGTCCTAAACATTTCGATTATGTCAATTTAATTCTAAACATTTTAACAACTTACCAACTTAGTCCTAAATATTTTAACGGTCGGACAATTTAGTCATCTTGGCAATATTTGTAGGAAATCGTTAACGCGGCAATCTAGTTAGCATCGATTGTCCTACATAGCATAATCGATGCTGACGTGGACAATTTTGATAACTTTTTTAGTTTTTCCATTTTCCTTTCCTTTCCTTTTCCTTTTCTTTTTCTTTTTTTCCTTTTCTCTTTTTCCTTTCGCCGCTCGCCGACCTACACCAGCCTCAAGCGAGGGCTACCCACGCCGATCGCGGCCCTCGCTAGCCCAAGCGCAGGCGTCCCTCGCCCAAGCCTAGCAACGGCAACCCTCTCCTAAGGCCAACGAAGAATGTTGCTTATGCCAAGCCGTGCCAATTCGAAATGCACCCGAAGACAACTTTCTCTAGGCCACTTGGACGGCTCTTTCACTCGAACCGAACACCATCATGACTCGAAATGCGATCATGACCACCACCGATTGCCCCACCGCCGCCATCTCGACCTCCTCCTCCTGCCATCATTAACAGTCACCACCATCGTCGACAAGCATCGATACCCACCAACAACCATTGATATCTCCCCGTGGTTGCTACTGTCGTCGACCAACCACTGTATTCGACCTCCACCGCAGGCCATCGTTCACCATCACCCTCCCTAGTCTCTACTCTCTACCATCATTACAGCGGCTGCCGCCACTCATTTTTTTTTCGAATTATCTTTTTTTAAGTGAATTTATCGTCTTTTTTTCACGAAATTGTCGTCAAAGGATAAAAGATTTTCGATGTAAAACACTCGCCAGGGTCCGTCGAGAGGCTTTGCAAGATGAGACGTGAATTCTGGCCTTGGGCTACACAAACATCTTCTGTTGAATTGAAGCCAACTTTTGCAATACGGTCCAAAATGATGTTTGGGCTCGCTAGTCAGTCAGGCCACAAATAATGACCTTAATAGATAAGGATCATTGGGGTTTTGGACGGTTCATATGGATTAGATAGAAAAAAAAAGAAAGAAATTCTATGGTTGGCCGGCTACAAGGACGATTATTATACTATAAACTTGTCAAAATTCGTGATAGACCCATTTTCTTAACTCATATTTGATGGCATGCGCTGTTATATAGGTTAGTTATATTCGGTAAATGGGTCATAAATAAATTTAGAATGATAAAGCCAAAATAATATGGATGTTAAAAGGATTCACAACTTACTTAGACCCAACTCACCTCTATGACTCTCACCCGCCCTCAGTCAATCTCGCGCTCGCTCACTCCGTGCTTTCATCTTATTTTGGGTTTGAGTTTTCCTAAATTAAGCTAAATATGAAAGTGTTTTAGCAATATAGGTCCGGTATGGTTGGGTGTGGGTCGGATATGGGTTACTAAATTTGTATTGAATGAAAATAGGTGAGATAAGTCAATTTGGATCGGACCATTTTCGATCCGACCTACCATTTTGACGGGTCCCTATACTAAAAAACTCAGGTTTTTAAATTCGATACTGGTGGGCTCCATGTCATTTTGATAGATCATGCTGGATCAGTAGTTAGGTTTAACATGCCAATGTCAATTAATATTAACAATGCAAATTACAAAAATAAGCACATTCATAAGAGCTTAAACCACTATGATTATATCAACAAAATCGATCGACGGAATCAGCCGGCAGAGCGATACAACGGACTATGCGGTGACACATATACTTATATTATGTATATGTTTTGTAAATAATGCCATCATTATTACGTAGGTTGTTGTTGGTAAAAGAGAGAATGTTTTTCTATTGAAATTAAAATATGTATTTATAGGCTTAGGGTTAAGCCTTGTACAATTACATAAATAACCCCTACTTGCTAAACTGTAAAATAATAAGTAATAACCCAACACTCTCCCTCAAGCTGGGGCATACGTATAAAAAAGACCTAACTTGTGGTAAATGTATGAAACTCGTCCACGTCGAAGAGGTTTTGTGAAAATGTCTACTAGCTGCTCCTCAGAATGTGTGTGCACCAACTGTATATCACCACAATTCACCTTTTCGCGAACAAAATGACAATCAACTTCTATATGCTTCGTTCGCTCATGAAACACGGGATTGTTAGCAATGTGAATAGCAGATTTATTATCACAATGAAGAGTAGATGATCCAGTCATATGCAGTCCAATCTCAGCTAACAACATTCGAACCCATTGAAGTTCACTTGTAACATTAGCCATAGCTCGATACTTGACCTCTGCACTAGATCGAGAAAAAACTGATTGTTTCTTACTTCTCCATGACACAAGATTACCACCAAGAAAGACACAGTATCCAGAAGAGTACCGGCGATCCATAGGGCACCTGGCCCAATCTGCATCAAAATATGCTGTCACCTCCAAAGACTTAGGATTAGAACTACCAGCTATATGAGGATGACCTTGATTATGGAACACAAGTCCTTGACCCGTAGCTCCCTTCAAATAGCGAACTATCTGTAGGATGGCTTGCTAGTGAGTAGTACGGGGAGAGCTCATGCATTGACTCACCATACAAACAGCAAAGGAAATATCTGGACCAGTAATAGTGAGACAATTTAACTTGCCTACTAACCGGCGATACTTCTCTGGATCATAATGAAGCTCTCCGTGTTCATTATCAAGTTTCACCCCAGGGTCCATTGGTGTGTCACCAAGCCTAGCGTCATGCAAGCCCAACTCCTTAAGAATGTCAAGAGTATACTTTCGCTGAAAGAGAGCGATAGTGCCATCGGCATAGGCAACCTTTATACCAAAAAAATATCGAAGATGACCCAAGTCTTTAGTGTTAAACTCCTTATGTAAAAACTGCCTAAGCCATTCTATACCTTCAACATCACTTCTGGTAACAATAATATTATCAACATAAACAATAAGAATAACACACCCCTTTGAAGAAGAGCACATACTAAATACGGAGTGATCCACACTGCACCAATGCATGCCAAAAGTAATAACTACATCACTAAAGCGGCCAAACCAAGCACGAGGAGATTGCTTAAGTCCATAGGGGCTTTTCGCAACCGGCACACCTTCTCCCCTTGAGCAACATATCGAGGTGGTTGCTCCATATAAACCTCATCGTGAAGATCACCATGAAGGAATGCATTTTTTACATCAAGCTAATGAAGAGTCCACTTAAACCGAGCAGCCAAAGAAATAACGATACGAACGAAAGGAATTTTGGCCACTGGAGAAAAAGTTTCATCATAGTCGATACCATAAGTTTGAGTATAGCCCTTTGCAACAAGACGCGCCTTTAAGCGCTCAACTGAACCATCAGGACGGTGTT